TCGAGCATGCAAGGCAAGCGCTCTACCACTGAGCCACCTTCCCAGCCCCCCAAACTCTTTTTTGCTCAAGGCTAACGCTCTACCACTAGAGCCACAGTGCCACTTTCTGCTTTTTCTGTGATTTAAATGGAGATAAGAGTCTCCAAGGCTATTGAGGCTGGTTTTGAATCACAATCCTCAGACCTCAGCCTCCTGAGTAGGTAGGGTAACAGGCATGAGCCACCAGCGCCCGGCTAGGTCTCCATTTTAAAAATAAAAACCACAAGCTTCACATGGTGGATAGACCTACAAGTACTCGGGAAGCTGAAGCAGGAGCCTAGCCTGGGCCACACAGTAAAACCTTGTCTCTAATACATTCATCCATCCATACATATATGTCTCCTTGCAGAGATACCATAACTACATAGATATCCCTGGAGAATCACTAGGATGGGCCAGGCTTGGGTCTGGGCTTCAGCAGTACCAACATAAGCCTACCTGGAGCAGGGTTTTCAGGTTCTGTTAACTCACCTGGTACTCTAGCTCCAGGAAGACCCACCTGGGGGAAGGTACACCCATAGGCTAAAAGGGACGGGCAGCTCCTTCCTCCTTTTAGTTCCCTGCTGCCCTCCTTAGCTTTCAAAGGTTATCAAAGCCTTTAACACATTTTACCAAGTGGCCAGAAAATGTCACTCTTCTCCTCACCGCCCCCCCCCCCATCTTACCATCTTCACAATACAGCACACTTCTGGTAATTACCCAAATAAGCCATAAGGTTCCCCTCATTTTTTTTTTTTCTGGAGACAGGATCTTACTGTGTAACACAAGCTGGCCTCAAACTCTTGATCCCCCTGCCTCTCAGCCTCCCCACTTTCATACACGGCTTCTAGCGATGCCTATAACCACCCTCACAAGCCTAACAACCTCCTGTTCTCCCACCATGTCTTTCAGGGAGGGCACCTCTAACCTCTCCATGGGCGCCATGATCCCAAGTAGTGACATCCTCCTACCCCCTCCCAGCAAGTCCACTTCACCTCCCAGCCTTTTTAGCTGCATTCCTAATTCCTGATCCAGAGAAAAGGAACCTGATGCTACCCCCTGGGAAGGGAGGCAAGAGAGGAAAGTTGAGGCTACATAAAGTTGAGTCCATTGAAGAGAAGCAGCCACTCACTGGTCCTCCTCAGATCTATAAAAACACACTCCCTTTCTCCTCTGATCCAGAACTTCCGGGAAACTGACATGTTAGGATGAGCAGTAGATTCCTTGGTTTTCTAGGCTTGCTCCAGCCAACCTCCAAAGCTGATTGGCAAGAGCCTGCCTGGATCAGCCATGGCACTATACCACACAAATATTAACAAACACACAAAAGACTACTCATTCCTGTAATCCTAGCTACTCAGGAGGCTGAGGTCTGAGGATCGTGGTTCAAAGCAGGAAAGTCTGTGACACTCTTATTATCTCCAATTAACCACCAGAAAAATGGAAGCAGAGCTGTGGCTCAAAATAGTAGAGCACTAGTCTTTTTTTTTTTTTTTTTTGTCGGTTGTGGGGCCGGAACTCTGGGCCTGGGCTCTGTCCCTCAGCTCTTCAGCTCAAGGCGAGCGCTCTACCACTTTAAGCCATAGCACCACTTCCGGTTTTCTGGTGGTTGATTGGAGATAGGAGTCTCACGGTCTTTCCTGCCCAGGCTGGCTTTGAACGGAGATCCTCAGATCTCAGCCTCCTTAGTAGCTAGGATTATATGCGTGAGCCACCAGTGCCCAGCTAGAGCACTAGTCGTAAATGAAAGAGCTCAGGGACAATGTCCAGGCCCTGAGTTCAAGCCCATGACTGGCAAGAAAAATACAAATAATTCTCTGGATAACGACTTTTAGGGATTGAAGAGCTTACTGCCTAGTGGTGGATCTTAACAAAAGGGCAAAGACAAGTCCTTCACCATAATGACTAGGTACCCCCAGCAGAGTTTTTGGTCCACTCTTCAGAAAGCTGATGAGGAGAGGAACTCACACTTGTTGTCACCAGGCCTGAGCAGACACTAGGCCAGGAGATCCCAAGGCTACCTTTTAAGATCTCCGCTAAAGACAAGCCAGAGCCCCTCTCCAAGTGCTACTCTCATAGACTGTGAACCATCAGTACTGAGCGCTTGTAGGCATTACTTTTTTTTTTCCCCCTTGTTTTGGTCCTTGGGCTTGAACTCAAGGCCTAGGCACTCTACCATTGGATCCACAGCTCCACCTCCAGCTTCCTTGGGTAGTTAATTGGAGATAAGAGTCTTACAGGCTTTCCTGCCTTGGTTGGCTTGCAGCCTCCTGAATAGCTAGGATTACAGGCAGGAGCCATTAAGTGCCCAGCTACTTTTTAAGGATCCTTTCCTCTCTCCCAAAAGGGCAATTAACAATTTTTTTTAAAGCAGCCAAAAACCTCAAATGCTGCCCCCTCCCCAACTTTAGTGTGGCCACATGGTTTTATTCTTTCAGAAATCCAGGGTGTGGTGGCTCGAGGGGTTGATCGGCTGACCCCCAGGCTTTCCTTTAGGGGGATGTCTTTGCTCAAGTCAACCTGTTAAATAAATGAAAGTGGGGTTTGGGGTCCTTGCCCATAGGAGATACTGCCCTCCTCCAATTTCCACCCGAAGAGAGGTAAGGCAGGCACAGTGCAAACACACCAGCAACCCTGCCATTCTCCCATCTCTCAGGAGAAACCAAGTAGCCAGGATAGAGTGAGGGTCCCACAAAGCCAAGCACCTGCAGATACCAAGCTGCCAGGAGGACAAAGCCTATGGGACCTAAAACAAACACAACCACTAATGGACAGATGTGAGGCTCTTCCTCTCCACCTTCGGAATGACAAGCTGTATATACTACTTCCCTTCTTCTTACCCTCAAAACCAGAGATCCAGACATAAGTCTGGAGTGTGTCACGTCATTGGTGGTCTAGGACTGGCAGCAGGTAAGAGCTGGTGTGCTGAGCTCAGCCCAGTAGAGGGTCTTTGTGCCATTCCCTACCAAACCCATAGTACCAGGAGTGGCTAGACACCAGCCCCCACCAGGGAGATCTGTGGTTTCTCCCCAGGCCAAGGGGAAAGGCGCTCAGAATGGATAACTGGCCTTTGGTTTCCTGGGCAAGAACATGCCAGGGAGGGACAGGAAGGGGTCTCTCAGCCCAGGAGTGACATAGCAGAGGCCAGAGGCGCCTTTCGGAGCTGACAGATCTGTCTTCCGTCTAAGCAATTCTCCGAGCCGGCCTAATTCCTATTCGCTGATGGCTTTTGCATGTTTGGTTTGAGACTGGGACTCGAACTCGGTACCTTGACGCTTTTCCCTTCTGGTTAGCGCTCTACCCACCAAGCCACCCCATCCAAACCCCACCGCCGAAGGGTTTAAAGGCTTTCATCCACCACCTTCCCCCCTTCTTCCCCCCCCTCCAGAGTCCTCCCCCACCCATCCCATTCACCCCCGAAGCTGCCGATTTCTTTTGTTCATTCAGCCGGCAGAAAGAGATAGGCAGGATCGAACCCAGGCTAGCTTTTTTTTTTCTTTTCGGGGTGCTGCCTTAGCTCCCAGGGCAAAAAAAAACAGCGGCAGCAAACGAAGCCCTTGAGGTGTCTTTTCTCCATCTCCTTCCAAACTAAACGCCAACTGTGTGCTCACCACGGGCCAAACTTGCAAGTTCTGGAGTGGTCGGGAGAATCGGCCCGCCCCGAGGTGCAGGCCGGCCGGTCCCGGGCCTCCAAGGTCACCGGGAGGGAGGGACGGAGGTGGGAAGGCAGGGGAGAAGAAGACACCGCCCCGGCTAGGGGGTCCCCACCACCCCCGCTCACCGCGGGGCCGCGAGCCCGCCACGTTCGCCCCGCAGCCAGATCTGTCTTCCCAGGCGCGGCGGCGCGGGGAGCCCACCTCGGGACGCACGCACGGACAGACGGACGGACGGACGGGAGGCGGCGCGGCCCCTCCACGAACACCGGGGAACCCG